GTGCTTGAATTGTACTACGATCCTATACATCGAAAAAAATATATATTACAAAGTCATTTCAGAGTTAAAATAATAATAATACTTGTAATAATTGTTCAAGTTCTTTTTGTAATTGTTTTTGATTTTCTGAATCTGATTCACTAGCTGCCAAACGACGAGCAACTATTGAAAGACGAACGTCTTCAGTAGCAACAGCATCACGCTAGAAATAATAGTAAAAATGAAACTCTTCATTTTATTCAGCTTCAACGTAAATTTACTTTCAATAAACCATTGTAATAATCGACAGTTGGATTTTTTGGTGGTTTTGACAATGGTTCTAGTTCACCTTGAAATTCTGCAACCATCTGTGCAGCACCAAGTTTCTAAAAATAGGACAAAAAAATTAACAGGATTAGGCTTCTTTCTTTTTTTTTGGAAATAATAATTTACCAAATCTCCATACTGCATGACATGACTAGTATTTGTTTTGTCTTGTGTTACTTGAAATTGTTTAAATAGTGTTTCCGTATCGATTTTTTCTGCATCACTATCTTCCATCCACACGACTGAATAGACATCACCCAAGTATGTTTGACGTTTTTCATCGTAATAACATGCGTAAGATGATTCTTCGGCATTTGAGGCAGTTGTTGCATAAACGTTAATGTTATCAGGTAATAGACCTTCTAGCATTGAGCCCGATTCACATGCTTCAATGTAAATGACCATCTAAAAAAAACAGACATAGGAATTAGTATATACAACTTCAAATGTGAATTGATATGAACCTGTTTGTATCGGTTATTTGTGTGCATTTTTGTGATTGCAGTATTGAAATCTTTTGCATAGAGCTACAAATAGACATATACGCTTAGTTTTCGTCAAATTTTCTATAGTGTTTATCAGGTATTTACCACTCCTTCTGGAAAAGCGACCAGACCTGCTGCACCATGATCCGTGAAATAGATGAAAATATTGTCATCTGGACCACTAAAAAAAAACCAAAAATATGAAAAATGGTAGAAAATCACTTGGAGGAGCACTAATAATAATAGAGTACACCAATCCTATATGTTATATATTTTATATACTATTTTATATATTATAGAAAAATGATGTTCAAATAAATTTCTATAGTTCAACAAAAAAGTAATACGATGATTTTCTCGCTTTAAAATCAATTGAGTTCATCGTACAATTGAAAAGATATCTTGTTTAATCTATTTATTTTAATTCTAATTCCAACATAATTTTTGTGTGAGTTCGGAGGAAGAATAGAAATATATGATTATGCGAGAAAACTATGCATTTTCTTTTTTTCCCCTTAACAACATCATATATAATGACAAACCAAACAGTTTTTTTGGTCGTATTCGAAGTGGTACTCGATAGATTCTAGTTGATTTATAAATCGTTTCACTTTTGGATTCGAAGCGACTACGCTGATAAGCTCTTTTAAAGTGAGATAAAAGCTTTATCTCAAATATTTTCTATTTAAAATTTTTTCTGAACTAAATCTATACACCGCGTATGTAATTATTCTAGACTTCTTTC